CTGTCTGAAAATTTTGTAGATATCAAAAGTATTTAAGAAGGTGTCGAAAAGCTTAGTAGAACAAAAAGTCATGTATCTAACAATCTTTTCTTTATTAACATTGGATAACAATGCATAGCAAGTGCATTTCCTGTTCAAGGTGAAATAAAGGTCTCAAGTTTTATACATAAAAAAACAAAAAAATCCTATTACATAATTGTATTGTCTAAACTATGAAATACCACTAACGAAAAGAGATCAATGTATATATCTTTTATTTCCAACTATGAAATAAAAGGAAGAAAAAAAGAATTAACAAATTCATTTTCTCAAGAGTAAGAGACAAATAATCGATACTACAATCCAACTCGGGTTGAGTAACGAAAATTTTTCCCATGTCGACTACTGACTGAAATACATTGTTTTTCATTTCCAAACCATTAAAATATTCTAAAAAAAATTATACATATATTTTTCTATATTTTAGTAGCTTCAAGGTTTGTTTATATACTTTAAGGCCCTCCCTCCACCTCAAAAAAGTTACTTTTCGTCAGAATCATCGAAATTGAGATAAATCCATAGAAAACTAGTCCGTCATCTGCTCTTTCATAAATACAAGCCGTTTTTACAAAAAACCGAAAATCATTTTTCGTTTTTCTCAGAACGTAGGTTCAACGACGCATCTCCAGCAGAACTCTATCACAGTAAGAGGTAAAGTCAAATACTTTTTTTTGTTTGAAAGCTTGTGTCTAGGGCTAGCGCCCCTCGTGGTCCTTTTTTTTAAAATAAGCCCTTTTAATATCATATAAGAGAACATCTCTATAGAAACAGCGCCATTTTTTTAGGAATTTTTTTAGTCATTGAACTTGTCATTCCTTTTCTCCGCTTAAAAAGTAAGAATTTAAAAAAAAAAGGGCCACGAGAGGCGCTGCATTCTGACATGCTCTTTCAAACAAAAAAAAGAATTAAATAACTAGAATGAAGACCTACAGAGAAAACTTGGAGATACTATTGGGCTATTTTGGACCCTTGTTTGGTGAATATTTCTGTTAAACATCGTGCTATATGGCTGAAAATTTTACTATAGTCATGGTTCACCAGCTCCAACATATCCTGAAAGTTTCATAGAATTTGGATGTTCCTGGCCTGAGATCGATTTTTGAGAGGGGGGGGGGGGGGGGGGGGGGCCTTAAAAATTTTTGTCGTTTATGAAAGAGCAGATGACGGGCTATTTTTCTATGGATTTATCTCAATTTCGATGATTCTGACGAAAAGTGACTTTTCTCAGGGAGGGAGGGGGGGGCGGGGGCCTTAAACATCATTTTCTTACGACTTATGTGTTCTAAAAGTCTATACGAAAATTATTGAGTAACGATCATCTCAATATTTACTCTTACAATTTCGACAGTAAAATGAATTCTTTTTTTTCTAAACAACAGAGTTGTTGAACATATAAACGTACAGAATAGACGAAATATTGATAAATCTTCAAGAGATAGGATACTAGAGACCACGCATGTTATGTAAAATGTCTCTAGTGTATTGGCATTGCTAGAAAATCATATTACATTTTTCGCTAACATATGTATTACTAAGCACGAAATCAGAACTAAAAAAGATTGGTCCCACTTATCATTAGTACACATTCAAAAACAAAATGCTAAAAGCATTTGCGTCATGATCTTGAAAACTTTTGAAGAATTTTTCCAAATGGAAAATAGGTATCCGAATTATCGGAAGTTCTTCGAGATTTGCTGACAGGTTACAATCTGAAATACTTTAATGGTTTCTAAGATTGTGTCGGAAATTCTTCCGGCATAAAAATGTTCGGAAACCTTATTGTATGAGATTCCGACAAAACGGATGTTTTGTTATTAGATTGATATCTAAATGAATCAATTATATTTCATTTAGAATAAAAAAAGAATATTTGAAATTATTAACATAGAAATAAATTTATGAGAGTAATTGTTATTTTCTTTCTTTAAAAAAAAATATTTCAATTGATGTTTTTACGAACATAAGAATTTTTCTCAAAACGTTATTCAAATATCTATTAGGTGTTAATTAATTTTCAAGTAAAGAAATTTTTACACGAACAATCTTTACAATAGTAGTGTAGTGTTATTTTGTTTTGATCTTCTTTCAAAAAAATGCATGACTTTTCTTCAAATTAGAAGAATTTAGAAAAGAAAAATCAGTACCCATCGGGATATAACCATGAATACAATTTCCATACTAATAGCATTTATAATTTGATCAATTAACTTGTAGAAGATTTCATTCAAATGTTTAATGTCCCAATTGCCATTTGTTAAACTTTGATTAAAAAAGCTGAATGTTTAGTTAAGAAGTGAATTGAACTTCGAATTTTGTTAATCAATTCATAGTTGAAGATTTCCATTAAATAATCAAATATTCATAGTTTTATCTATCAATTAATCACTAGAACGTATGAATTATTATATAGTTGTATCTTAACAGAAAGTAACGTTTGTGTTTTTATAGAAAAAGAAAATAGGATCTTCAGTAAAAACTATAGTTAATCGAACTCTAACTGATGTCGAGACTTGGGCAGTCACACTTTTTAACCTCCAACTCCAAATTATTTTTTCTCGTAAATTAGCAACAGCTTACATATTAGGTGATATTATGTTACTTAAGATCGTATGAAGATAATGAAAATACATCTGATGACAAATGTAGAAATACGTATTTTTTATTTTCTATTTCATGCTATTTGACTATTTGATTGACAGTTTTCTTTTCCTCTACGTTATAATTATCAAAAATAAATACTACATTAGAAAAGAATGAAATGGCATCTCTGAAGAGTCTGTAATTTACATAAATTTCTACTCCGATACAGTGCACTAAACTGACGATACCTTGAATTATGAATTTGAGCTTTTATTTTTAGAAGAACTTTTCACTCAATTGAACCAAATATTCATATGAGATAAGTAATGTGTATTGCTAAGTTTTAATGATGCATAAATAAAAAGAAAACAACAATACATGAGTGTAAGGATAGTAAGATTGAAAAAAAAATAGAACAGTTATCATTAGTAGACAAACAAATCAAATCAGTCAGCGCATAGGAAATGAAAGATTTTCTTTTGCAGACATTTTTTTTTTTCAGAACATAGTTATTTGATTCAAATAAATGTCATCTATAATTAATATGTAATAACAGAAAGATTGATTCAAACACAAATATAGATTTATATATATATATATATTCATGTATTTTTAATTAATTATATTTTTCTTTATTATTATTATTATTATAAATATTCATATGTTTTTTTATCAAGGTCAAATCCTAATCAATATTACTTTGTTTTTTATTCGTTTATTGAGATTGAACTAAAAACAAAATTAATTGAAGTTCTTCGTATATTTCAAACAATACGTATATCAGCATTACCAGTTGTTGATAGTGAAAAACGTTTACGTGATATTTATTCTAAATTTGATATTATGGTAAAAGAACTTTGTTAATAATATTAACTTCTTTTTTTTTTTTCAAAATAATTACTTTTTTTTTTTTTTTGGTTATTAGCATTTAGCGGCAACACGTACCTACGCAAATCTTGATGTTCCATTATGTGATATACTTGATTCAATTCATGATCATAATACACATCAATTAGCTACTTGTAAAATGACCGATCAATTATTTGAACTTATGGATAAATTTGTCTCTCGAGAGGTAAACTATAGATTAACTATGCACGTTGACTAGTAGCTACAAATATAAAGAAAAATATTTCATTCATTTTTTAAAAAAATGTATTCTGTTTCTATTGTGATTGTCACATGAATGACAATATCAATCACAGAAAAAAAAAAAAAAAAAAAAAGAATTTCTTCGTCTACATATATTTCTTTTTCAATCGTTTCCAATCTAGAACAATATTCATTGTATTTTTTCATATTAATAATTATAATATGCAATATTTATATAGGTACATCGTCTGATTATAGTAGACGATAGTCAACATATTATCGGCATTCTTTCTATGTCTGATTTGATGAAATTTTTTGTATCAACATTTGAAAGTAGGTTTTATTAAATTTGTTTTAGTTTTAAATAAAATAGTTTATTAATATATGTAGAATTGAGTCGTATGAATTCAAATGCATCAAATGGTAATCCTAATGGAACTCTCTTCGAAAGTCTACCAATGGATACTTAATCATTTTTCGTATATATATTAATAACTGCTTGTAATAAATTATGTATTTTTTTTTTTTCATCGCGAGAACAGTTTGTTTTCTTTTACTTATTCGTCTCACTATGTTGTCTGTTAAATTATTGTTAATTACTTTTCGATTCTTTATGATGTGTTTTCTTCTTTAGCCGTAGAAAAGGTGAATAATGATAATGATAATAATAATAATAATTATCATTTTTCTTTTCAAGCATTTTATTGGTATTCCTTTTGGATGCTGATAGACATCTCTGCTGTCTTGATTTCTCATCAAATGAAAGAATATTTAAAAAACATATCTGCGAACAAACGACAATATGTTGTTCGCACAAGCAAACTGTCTTATTCATTGCTCCTATACGAATCCTTCGCAGTTACATTCAATCAATATCAACATCCTTTCTTTTTTTTTTTTCTCTTTTTTTTTCTTTCTCTTTTTTTATTTTTGCTATTATGGTTCTATTTCTTTTTCTCTATTTTTCTGCATATACATACGGTAAAAAAAAAAAAGAAAACAGAAAGAAAAAAAAAAGAAACTATATAACTTATATCTGTCTACTATTGATCGTATTCGCTTATAAAGATTGTGACTGGTTGGCCGTTAAAACTACTGTGTGACAGTGTGAGTCGATTTTTTTTTCTACCTTTCTTTTTTTTGCTATGATGTCAGTTGCAAACTAATATTTACTAACTTAATCACTACATAAAGAGTCATTGAAACAGATTAGAACGAAACTGATAAATGCTTTTTTTTCTTTTGGATCCTATGCTTTGATTTTTCTATTGTAGAAAGTGTGTTAGTGAAAGTACAACGCCTTTCCATTCCATCAATAGCCAAGTATTGGTGATATTGCAAAAAGCCAAAGAAAAAAAAAACATAATAATAAAAGACAACAATGGGAGATTCTATGATAAATCCATCAATTGAATATGATTATTTGATCAAATTCCTTGCATTAGGGGATTCTGGTGTTGGTATGTTATATTGATGGAATATTTTATTGATTATGATTTATTCTCATATAGGAAAAACAACATTTCTGTATCAATACACTGATGCACAATTTAATCCAAAATTTATTTCAACAGTTGGCATTGATTTTCGTGAGAAACGTGTTGTTTATCGACCGAAAACACCACCAAATGCAAAACCATATAGAATTCATTTACAGTTATGGGATACGGTAAATAAATGAAGATGAAAAATTTTTTTTTTCTAATTCTTTCTACTATTCTATAGGCAGGACAAGAACGGTAATTCTATGAAATTTATGTTTTTAAACATATTTAAATAAATGATTTTTAGTTTTCGAAGTTTAACAACAGCATTTTTTCGTGATGCAATGGGTTTTATATTAATGTTTGATTTAACATCTGAACAATCATTTTTAAATGTACGAAATTGGCTTGCTCAATTGCAATGTCATGCTTATTGTGAAGATCCTGATGTGATATTAGTTGGAAATAAAGCTGATCGTGAAGATGCTCGTGTTGTATCTCTAACACGTGCACAAGAATTAGCTGATAAATATTCATTACCATATATTGAAACAAGTGCATTTACAGCACAGAATGTTAAAGAAACCATTGAAACGTTATTAGACAGAGTTATGATAAGAATGGAAACAACAATAGGTATGTTTATTAAATATTTTATTTTATAAAATTAAATTTTAATTGACTTCAATATAAATTATAAGTGCTTTCTATAGTTTTATTTATCAAGAAGAAAATTTAACAAAAAATCTTATTCTATATATGTCATTATTTCTTGATTATATTTTCTTTAAAAAAAACAACATATAATTTAGTTATAGTTCAATCATTTTCTAGCTCAGATTCATTTCTTATCATTAAAATCCAAACAACGTAAGTATAGGGGGTGATAAAAATTCTCCTTGTTGCAATATTTATATATATATATATATGAGCATGTAAATGATTGCTTCTTTATTTTTTTATTGAAATGAATTTCATTTCGAATCGATGCATGCTATAGCTTGTAAGGTAAAAAAATATATCATATGTTGATTGAAAAATTATATTGATGAGAAGCATACGGAAAAAATTAGGATATATTTAAATATGATAAGGTATTGAATAAATTCTTTATTTTGCATTTTATTCTATACAGATAAATCAGTTTTTCCTGTACGACAACCAGCACCAACGCAACCAGATAAAGATAAACGCCTATGTTCCTGTTAGAATCGTTATTATAGCTCAATGTCGTTGTTATTGTTGTTGTTTTTTGTTTTCGTCTTCGTCTGCCTTTGACAGTGAAAATATTTCAAATTATGAAGATATACGAATCTCTTCTTTTGTTTTTCTGATAATATTCTTCATATATTCATCATTTTGTACAGCTTTACATTTTAAATATTAATCATAATAAATTTCTGTGTGTATTTGTATGCTCATTTTATCTATATTATTTTTATCTTTTCTTTTTTGTTTTCTTTTATTTCAACAACAAATACTTATGTTCACAAGTTTCTTTTTCTGTTCATTTTTAAATGTCATACAAGTAGGATTTATTACATAATATATATTTTCTCTAAATGACAATTAATTTTATTTTGCTTGCATTCTTTTTTTTTTTTTATTTTAAAATTTAGTATATTATGGAATTAAAAATAATTAAATAAATATGATAAATGAGAAATATTTCAAATCAATCCTAAAGTCGATTATTTCAAGTTATTAATATAAAAAATGAATTTTCTTTTTCTTGTCTGTATCTGAAGTATATGTACACAAAGATTCTATAAGTCTATCAGAAGTAAAATAGACTAAAAAAAAATTATTTTTACTTAAACTAAGAATTCTTTAGTGAAAATCTAAATAATAATGATATTTAATTTAGTTGAACTTATCTGCAAGAAATTGATCATTTTCAAATAAATTTATATATATGATTGTTATTTGTTCTGAATATAATTCATCAGATAGATGACTGATCGAATATAGAATGAATTACAGTATTTCATAAGTTTTATTCTTATCACACAAAATATTCTAAAACGTTTATGCTGGATAATAGAGCTTCGCATGGAATATATATTTCAAAGTTTGTCTATTGTACATGAGATAAGAAAAGCCTGAAAAAGATTTTTATCCCGTGACATATCATATCCGTCAAATAGTCTTTAAAAAGTGAAATTTAATAATACATCAATTCATTTGATTAATTATACAAAAATATTATTCTACTTAGAGAAATCCAAAGGTACTAACGAAAGTACTTTATATGTTCTATTATTCCATGATATTTTATCACTTGTTAACTAATATCATATAATAAAATATTGATAAGATGCGTTCGGTATGACATGTGACAATAACATTAGATAATATTGTTTGCAATGTGTATTCTCTCCTATTGTTTTATTCTCTTGGTGAATGTGTGGGTTTCATTATTCTCTTTTCTCACACTCCCACTCACTCATATCCAGAAGACATTTTATCACTTATTACTAAAATCTGAATCAATTCACTGCTTTTAGCTATTACAATAGACAGAATTGAGTCTTTTGTTTATTTATTCATTTTACTGTGATCAAATGACTACAATACATAAACATTTGTAGAATAGAACAACAAAATTTTATTTTCGCTAACTCTATTGAATTAGACAAGATTACCATCTACATGAACAAAAATAGTAATATCCTTCCTTACAAAAAAAATATGTATCTAAGTGACTGTTTGTCTTATAGAATAGATGGGACGTAAGTCTTTGGGTAAATGTACCATGGGATAGGATAATTTTCCAAGACACCTGCCTCATCTTATTTCATGAAATGTTTGGCAAACAACTTATGCTCCATGCATCTCATGAGACAAGACTATTCTATCCGACGCCAACTCTTGCTTGCCATTCATACATACTTACCGTGCAAGAGCGCTCAACTAATAATACTCGTGGATAGAAGTCCCACATTTTCATTACAGTTATTAGCAAACACAAACTCACACTATTATTTGCCTTTACTGTTGTTGACAGAGGTTTTCCTAACAATTTGTCAGTTGTGATATCATATGAATAAAGTAAATTAAGAAACGCAAATGTAATCTTATTTCAAAGAATCATTTTCAACAGAAGTCTCAGTTCGTATCACGTTTATGTTAAATATGTCACAGACAAAATAAAACTGAGTATTATTGTAAATATTTTAATCTCATAGATGCAGCTATGAAAGGAAATGACGAAAGGTCATAAGTCAGTGTTGCATAGCGTTAGACAATCAACGTTGTTAGAATTCGGTTAGTCACAGTGAATCATTTCGAATTTTGTATTTGAACGAAAGCTTTTTTGACATAAAAATTGGTAAAATTTTCAAGTTACAATGACTCTTTATGAGTCACTTTCATTCCTCTAGATTCTTTTATTCTATTTATATGAGAATAACAGTGTCTTTGTGCAAAAAAAAAAAAGAGAAGAGAATAAAATGACAATGTTTTCTTCAAACTACAAGGGGAATATAAGGTCAATGTGACTACATGATAGTCGATGTATGTCACAATGAATCACAGTGAATGGAAAATTTTTAATCAAATTCATTTGTCACGTAAAATAAATGTCTCTACAAATGTTCACTTACGTTAATAGAAATCAATATTAATAGAACAACTAAGTAACTTCAAAATGGTGTAGCTGTTCTTAGTTTTGTTTTTCAGCATTAATAACAATTCGAAATATCCATCTTTGTAGAACAATATTTTTCTCTTTATACGACTGTCTTATTTGATTTTGATCTTTTTATTTGAATGATTAAATAGCCATTACACGAAATATAATCTTATCATATTTTCTTTTTTAATTATCAATTTACCTAAAAAAAGCTGACAATGATTAATAGCTAGTTATCATTGTCTTCAATATATTAATCGATAATATACATCGAATATTACTAGATTGTATCACTATAGTTGTATTACTAATAGTTGAGGTTTTGAAAGAATGACAATTATCATTAATCATCCTTTATTCATATTGTCTATTTTTCTCTTCTGTTGAAATCAACAAATGACCAGTTTTTAATAAAAGTACACGTTCAAGTGATTTAATCTTTGTTTTTCTTTTCCGCTGAAAACGACATTATGTGTTTTGAAAACGTGGTTTTCTACTTGAAAAAGTCGCTTTTAAAATGTCAAAGCATTTTATGTTCAGATGGATGGCATGTTTCATTTTTCTAACTAATGGAATTTTTCTTACACCATCTTTACTAAAAAAGTGAACCCATAAACTGAATGTGAAACAGTCGGTATCAGGCTTTCCGATTAGGAGGGGGGGAGGGGTGCTATCCCCTCCCAAAATTGTGTGTCTGTGTGCGAAAATTTTTAATACTGTCTGCCAATATTTTACGGTTGCTGGGAGAAATGACTGATTGTATGAGAGCCCGAGGGGGAGGTACGGTACAACCTAGTGAAAACTGATGTCGTTTCTTCCCTTTTCCTCCCCGGTCAACAGTTTCATGCCAGAAAAATGAGAACATTGTCTGCCAAAATTTTAGTCCCCCACTGTTAAAAACAATCGACAACCCTGGTCGGTATGACGGATATCGACGATTTTAGTGCGTACATCAATTTGATGAAACTTGGTTTTGATTGACATCAGACATTTTTCTGAGAATGCAAAGAAAAGATTCATTTATTTAGATAATAAATAGTATTAGGTCAGAAAAACAGTTATTCAACTTACAGTTTTTGGCTATTAATAATGAGATCTATAGTCTTATTTTTATATCTTTTGTCAAAATAGTTATCAACTTCAAATAACTAATAAAAGTCTAAATTTTTTAGTAGATAATATTCATTAGAAATTTATTTTAAAAATTTTTATAAGACATAGATTACTCTATGAACTAATCATTATGCGCTTCAGTCAATAATAATTCATTCATTACAATGATTGTTTCTTGATATAAATAAGAAGAAAAGCATGGATTTTTCTGACATTATTTTACTTTTAATTCATTACAAAATCATTATAAAGTACGTAGTAATAAGTATGAGAGTCGTTCAAAAAGTTTCAAGATTAATTTTATTCAAAAACAGCAAGAGGAAGCATTCCTGTATTAGTATTGTTGCCTCTATGTAGTTCATACAGTCCTCGATCTACAAACATTATGATCTCTGATTGATTAAACATTTATGTCGAGACATAGACATAGTTTTTACACAGATGAAAAGTTTTAAAATTTGAGTATCCTTCAACGATAACGTTTCTAGTCCTGAAAGATCCATACCCATCCAATACACATGAACGTATGATGGTAGTTTATAGTGACCAGCACTTCATCGCACACTGTAGTTTTTTAAAGTAAGTTCAATCGAGCTGAAACTTTTTTCATATACATTAGACACGGTTTGATCGGAGATATAAGCCGATCGATTGAGCCACCGTCTTCACTATTGATCAATGCATCGGCTTACACCTCTGTTTAGTCTATAGTTATGTCATATAAGATTATAACCAAACAACTATAAAAGAAGTGTATATTTATAATGTATGACATCAAAAAAAAATATAAAAATAGTCTAGCTCATAGTAAATAATATGTTCTATTTTCTTTGTTTATTATTTGAGTTTAAATATTAGACATAGCATGAGAATTCGAGGATGTTGTAATAAAGTTTAATTTTTCATGTAGCTTATCTTTCTTATAATTTTAGATTAGTTAGAAATTAAAAATATCATCGATGGCAAACCTTAAACTTTGTAATTTGATGATCCTAATGCGTATTAGCTAAAATACAAAGTTCAAGGCTTATCATATCTGATCATACTAAAATTCTTAAAGAACGAATCCTTAACAATGATTTATCATTCGTTGATATTTATCTGATTCTAACAAATTTCATACAAAGAAATCAATCAAATGATTTCCTGCATGTGTAAACAAATAAGGTAATATTTTTGAATATTTTGAAATTTTCTACTTTAATCTTCACTGTATAAAATACGATGAGACCTTGAAACAGTCATTAATTAATACTTATCTTTAAAGTTTCACACGAAAGATTTACAAAACATTATATGAATTTTGATGCATTCTTACAAGGATCTAACTAGGAATACATTGAAATCTGATACACCTCTACATATCTTTTTTGTTTTTAGGGAAAAAATAAATTAAAACTAGATAATAACAAAAACAACAAATAATGAATGATAGTCATGATTGATTTTTCGGGTTATTCAGAGTATGTTATTATCTTCCCATGTATGTATTACAATTGTTTACTTCGTCTGTTTGTCATGTTCGATACTTATGATGACGTTTGGGGAATGATTTTATTTAATGTATCACTAATATTATACCTTTTCTTTCATTTAGTTATTTTTACACACGTGTACATTTATCTGTTTTGTAAAGCTTTTTTTATTTCTCCGAGCCTTGTAATAAAAAAAAGCCGAAAGTAACGCTATTTATGGCTTTAAGCCCAATCAATACTTATTAATGTATGTTTGATGATGCGTAAAGCACAAATAATTCAAGCAATAGTTACTTTTTGATTGGATGTACAATTATGAGTACGAAAGAAAGTGAAACATACGTAAATGGAATTGATAATGCAGAAACAGGAGCAACGACTACTTCGACAATCCATAATACACAAGATTCATCATCAACAACAGACAAGAAACAATTTGATGAACATCCAATTTTGAAAAAATATCTTCCAAAACAATTATGTGAAATATTAGAACAATGGTTTGTAGATGGTACATTAAATGATGATCAACAAGAAATTTTTCGAACTTGTGCAGAATTTCTTCTTAAATCAACTAAAATAAATTCTGATGCTAAAGAATGGATTAGTCAACAAACTGAATTAATTAATATTACTGAGAAATGTTTAAATGAAATAGGAGCTTATGGTTATTATATTGGAGTTGGTGGTGTAGAAGATCCAACTTTAGAATTATTTGATTGGCTTATTCAAGCATTTGAAAATATTCAATGTAAACAATTACTTGATACATTTGTTAAATGTGTAACAAGTCGTTTTTATATTGATGCTTTACATCGTTTGAATAAAGTTAATGCATCATCTTTAAGTATTACTGAACATTTTCTTCTTGTTACTTGTCCAAACTATATTCTTACTTGTGATAAAGATAAAACATATTCTTCGAAAGTAGCTAATAAAATGTTAGACTATTATGATGATCTACTTGATTATTTTATTCCTCATATTAAAGAATGGACAACATCAGTTATGCTATGCATATTTTATCCAATGAAATTCCTTTTATCCGTTATTCCATCATCATCATATGAAGAAAGGAAATCTGTCTATCATACTATTCTAACTATATTTTTAAATACGTCAACAACTGACTCCAATACTGAAGAAGCACATAATAAAATAATTCATACGTCACTTTGTTTACTAATTGAAATAGTTCGATGTGATAGCATTTTATCAAATGAATTAAAAAATAAAAGCGATAAAAAATCTGATTTACTCAAAATATTAAATGATTTGTCAAACAATGGAAGCAACGAACAAATACAATTAAAAGCAATAGAATTAACCTCATTATTAGTAGAAGAAGAAGAATTTCGTAAAGAAAACAATACCGAACGAGTCACGGATCTCTTCATTAAAAATTTCAAAGTTGCAGCAGAAGATGGAGAAATTAGTCAAGCCAATGGAGTTTTGACAGGATTAAGGGGTATAGAAATTGTACAATATTCTCTTTAAAATATTCTTTATTTGTTTATTTTATTCTTAGATTTGGTACAAAATGAGGATGTTAAAGAAGAACTTATTAAACAAAATGCATTACCATCAATAATAGAATTTGCAAAAGAAAATAATGATGATGCAATAGCATTAGAAATAGTCTATGCAATGACATTTAATAATGAAGCAAAAGAAATTATTAGTGAAGATAAAGAATTTATTGATTACATAAAAACATTATGTGATTCTTCAAACCCAGATGTTGCACAAATGGCAAATGGTATTATGTGGAAAATCGAAGTTGAAGAAAAATTCACAAAGAAAAAAGAAAAACAAGAAAAAAAAGAAAAAAAAGCACATTCAGTAGATGGATCAAAAAACATCTCTGATGAAGAATTCAAAGAATATGACATGATGATCTCATATTGTTGGGCACAAAAAACTCTATGTCATAAAATAAATGATCGTTTAGAACAAGAAGGTTATAAAGTTTGGTTAGATAGAGATGAAATGCGTGGATCAATTATTGAATGTATGGCTGAAGCTATTGAAAAATCTCGATATGTACTTATTTGCATGTCAAGTAACTATAAGAAGAGTACCAATTGTAAAGCTGAAGCTGAATATGCATTCAATCGAAAAAGCAAAATAATTCCTCTTGTTGTCGAACCTAAATATAAAGCCGATGGATGGTTAGGCTTTTTAGCTGGTTCCAAAATTTATGTTGATTTTGCTGATAAAGAAGGAGAGGAATTTGATAAAGCCTATGGCTCATTACTAGAAGAACTTAAACGAAATGGATTGGACGATATCGATAGAAGAAAAGAAAATATGACGATTGATGAAATGGCTAATTTAAAAGCATCTAAACGTGGAAAACCCGAAAAAGAACCTGAACAATCTTGTATTCAAACAAGAGAATATTTAAACATTCCCATGGCATCAATGTGGAACGAACAACATGTTGAGGAATTTCTTACAGATTATCGACTCAATCAATTATTACGTATTTGTGCATCGATGGATGGTGAAGCATTAATTGAATTTCATCATTCATGTGAAACAAAACCTGATATTATGTATGGATTACTTAATAATCCAAAAGAAGAACATTCAATATCATTTGGTACTTTTTTCAAATTTATTGCTAAACTAAAAAAATATTTACCACAAAAATCAACACGTAAACTTCATTTTCGATACAATTTTATTTATCCATCATCGAGTACAACTGAATCACCGACAACAGACAAATAAATAAATAAATAAATAAAAATAAACTATAGACATTTTTATCTCATTAGTTTTTGATTATTATGCATTTATACTTCAAGAAAGTTTTGTTTTCGCTATATAGGTAAGCCTTGAAATAACAATGAAACAATACCTATGTGATTCGAACCGAATAAAAACCGCTGGTGTACCGATTGGTATACTGAGCGCTATACCGGTATTTTTTTTGTCAAAGTAATCTGTCATGGTTTATTGTATCGAAACGAGTAGATATTTTTGACGTGTGTTAAGGCTGATAGAATTCAGACGATTCAGATTTACTTCACTGATGATGATGCATTTGAGCCGTCTGTACTAGGAACAGAGCGCAAATCACGTCCAGTTCTGGATTAAAATTTTTCATTGTAGATGGTCTTGCAAAAACTTTTATTAGTAAAATAGATTCCGAAACTTTTCCTCGATGAATTTGAACTCTTTCTAATAATATATTCAAATTTGAGTAGAAAACATTCTATGCAGTCATTTATAGTTGAAATCTAAAGTCGTAAGCACTATCGGCGATACTATGAATATATGTACGACATGGGTACTTTTTAATAATTAACAATAAGTTTGTTTACCTTTTACAGTTGCTCACAAAAGAAATAGATCGAATATCATATAATGGTCTGCTTAGTTTGAGTCTGAATTGAAAAAAATCCTTTCGATCTCAAGGTAAAATAGGAATGTTTCGGTATGTTTATATATATTGCATAATACGTACAGATATACATCTTATTGTCAAGCAGTGATGAGTATTTCAAGGTATTATAATTTTTTCGTATTGCATACTGCCTTGAGAATGTTCCTCCTTTTTTTGGAAATAGATCTATCGGATTCGTCTGAATTCCGTTGAATTCTGTTGGAAATTCACAGAAGGTTAGAGCAGGATTGTGCTGGCTGGATCCTATAGAAGTGTCGACTATCGCGATGCTTTCCATCAGCTGGATCCGACTGACGAGGTCATGTTCTGTGACTCCATTAAATTCATACAGGACCCGTACATATTGTAATTGATGCATTCTATAATGCGAGATCAAAAAAATGAAAAATGTTTAGCAAATAACAGTCAAATTTCGAATAAGTTTACTATGAGAAGCAAGTAGTGAACAAAGAGCATGCATTTTTATCTCTCATTTTATCTTTGACAATTCTGTTTTTTCTTTGAAAATAGGTTTAACTTCTTTTTCAAAACTCTGATGGAGACGCAAAAACCTGCTGGCAAAAGAAAAAGCCTGTTTAAATCTTGCTGTTTTGTACTAAAATTATATAGGTGTTGAATAAATTTCATGGCATACTTATTGTTGTGTGCTAGAGGGCAATATTTAGTCGGCCATATTGAGTACGTGATATTGTTCTATTTCGTATGTAAAATGAGTAAATAAGGAGCGGTTACAGATTCTTGCGAGTATCTTCTTTCATCATCTACAAACGAAATATGTGCATTGGTGGTTATATTCAAAAGTAACTGTCTCACACTTTTCTGAATGTTTATAAGCTTCACATTTGATCCATGTTTTTCCAAGAATTCAGCCCGCTATTCATCGTGATATAATGTATGAAATGATATTAGCGTTTTTTTAAACGCAGACTACCGCGTTACTCTTAAAAGGAACTGTAAATACTGAGCCTCCTGTTTCTAACACAATTGCATGTCATAGTTACTACAGTACTCTTTTTATGAGGGAAAACGCGATTCTTCATATTCACAAATGATTGCTCGCAAGCTAGATTGCATAGTACATTGCGAGATGCATAGAATGTGACGTATATCTACCTGTGTCATAAAAATCGCTCCAAAATCAACGATTTTATCATGATTTATAAGGCGGATTATTCGGAAGATTAAATCGCGTGAACTCATGATTTTTGCCGATATTTCATCAGTTTTAAAAAGAAATTGCGGTTAATCTAAAACTTTTAAAAACTAATGAATGAGTAACTGTGCTCAGTTTTTAACAAAAGAATCTTCAAGAATTCTCTGAAGAACTCCCAAGAATCACGAGAGGAATCTCCTGGCTATTTAAGGACTTAGTCTAGGAATCTAGTACGAGAATTATCACAGTTGTAAACATTCGCATATGAAATCGTATATTGTTGTACTCTAAAGAACTTCACATAAATGAGAGAGATGGATTCTTCTTCTCCACTTCTCTTCTACATCAATATAAAAATATAATTTCTGTTTTCAATTATATTTACCAAGGAAATTATAGTTGATATTAATCTAAATAAACAAAAATATCATTTGTATTGTAAAATTATGCTTACTGATGAAATTGGTATTGAGAATAATTTAAATGACGAAGATCAGAATTTATCTTATGAAATAAGACTTACTGATGATGTTGCTGTTGTTGAGATTGATCTGAATAAGAAATAAAACAATCCAGTTATTAGAATAGTACTTATCATTACAATTCTTGTTGACATTAATCTAAATAAAAAGAATATAATTTATTTTGTAAAATAATACTTACTGTATCATTGTTCTTGGAATTGATCGAAATGAAAATAATACAATTTATTTATTTAATATACTTACCGCAGAATTTATGAAGAATTAAAATAGATTTTCTAATCAAATAAGATGGATGATACAAGAGCTGCAAGAAAAAACAAAATGGTCATGTTTGTTTTCTTACTGTTTGGAACTAATCAGACAGTAAATATTCAGCTCGAAGCTTTAATTTGACAACATACTACGGAAATATTGAAAATATTTTTTAAGACAAAACCATTAAAATTTAGTTTTTCTTGGTTTCACAAATAAAAAATATACAAATAATTATTAGTTATCTAGATGATTCTTACGTGGTTGTTTTCGAAGTATTACGAATAATCACCAATGTTTTAAGAATCGTCAATTAATTGTTGATTTGTTTGCTCAAATCGTGATTAATCATCAACAGAGAATGTCACAGGACGCGCCTCTTGCAGAACTTTTCAGTCATGTAATTGATCATGATCAAATGAAGTTCTAGTCTAGTAGTAAAATTTGTCGTGACTTTCCGTTATTATCAAGAATAACCAGAAGAGTAAATGCCATACCAGCGAATGATACTTTTACCAAAAGATAATTTAGCTCAGCTGAATTGATATTTACTCAAGAACGAACACGTTTATCGTCAAGTCAAATTGATAACATATTATTTATTCGCTCATATGAAAAGTTCAAGATAAAATAATAAAAAGAAAATTTATCCTTTCGTGCTATCCAGCTGTTTATATTGGATATATTTTTGAATCCTGTACCTTTATATTTGTTTTATTCTTGTTTTGTTCACTTTATGGATGTCAAGTACTTCTTTTATTATTCATTTAATCTATCCTGGAAAATATGTGATAAGTTTTATTAACATCATTATATTGTAAATGATTTCTGTATTAATAATATGTCTTTGATATTTGACAGGACACTTAATATGTAGACAAATTTTTATTCTTGGCAAAAATGCAATGAAAGTATCATTTTATAGGCCGGATTCAGAAGGATCTTTTGTCCTGTAAGATATGTCTTGTCAGGATGGACTTTTTGATGTCCTGTCTTACGTCCTACAAAACAGAATGACTGACTGATAATGTTCAACAGAATGCAGGGCAGGACGAAGAAAACTGTCCAGTGACATTCGATATATTTAAGGATAGCACATCACTGAAAGTAGATGTTTTGTAGCATACATAGTACCGCAAAATAGTGTTCTAGATTAGTAGTAATCACCGAATAAGAATCAATCAAAGTTGTGTGGCATACAGTTGTTGTGCAGTTCAGAAGACCCACTCTTCGTCATAATGGTGAGAGTAAGAGCCTTTGTTAGACTTTCGCTGTCGTTCAAAGGAAGGTGTCCGCTTCCCTAAAAGAGTAAAAACGATGTAGTTTTTCTCCAAGAACAGAAAACATTTTTTGTTTAGAAACAAAATATACATCTGAATAATAATCATTTTCCATTTCAATTAGAAATAGTCGATACCAGAGGTCGAAACGGGGAGCATTTTTGACTCCCCGCCTCGCCTCGTCCCGACCTTAATTCTTTTTGCGCGTCCCTGCCCCGTGACAAGTTCCCCCCGCCCCGGCTCAATTTTGTTTTCTTCACAAAATCATCACGTATTTCTGAGATATGTATATAGTGCCCTCATATGATTTGTTTGACTATGTATTGAAGAAATATATTAGAGCATGAAAAGAAAATAATTCGAGATCAATCCATCGTTTTCTTTGACATGCTTTATCCTACAAAGACTTGTAATCGTGGTCACTCATTTCGGTACATGGGTGTGTGTGTGTGGACGTGTGGGTGTGGTTAAAGAAGAGACAAAAACCCACACCCGCACCCTTTATTTTGACTGTTTAATAGATATTTTTATTGAGCAATCTGTTAATATATTTGTATGCGAATATTTTACGGACCTCACCTGACTGATTGCAATAATGTAAGTAAAAACTCTGTGATGATCAATTTCCGCCTGCGCCCTACCGGCCTCATCAGGAGGATTTTTGTAAATAATTCTGTTTCTGAAGATTCTATCGGTATACAATACTGACAGATCAACGTAGATAATTGTAAACCCTATTGCTCTGAAGAGAAAACACTGTTTCAGCTTTTTAGGCGTTGTCACTTAGTGCTCTACTTAGTATCATCTCAGTATTTCCAAGAATTGAGCATGTTCTACATTTGTTTTCTTATTTTTGAGGTCATATTCTGAAAGAGCATAAAAACTACATCGATCTATATACGCCACTCATTGGTTAGAGATTTTATTACCCAACTATATGAGGTTAAGAGGGTCAAAAACCTGGTTTTTTGTCGCTTTCTCAAATGTTTGGCTCTAAAACTATCTCAAACTCAACTCTAGCCAAGTGTTTTTGTGTGGCTGTGATTTGAAAAGTTATTTTACACGTTACTAACTGCATTTTAGACTTTCTAAGCGCGTTACTAGCTTGTCCGAGAGCGATAACTAAAAGCAGGTCTGTAGCGGCACTTTACGGTAAATCAGGTTTTTCTGTATCAAACGTTTATTTTTTTTTAAATTTCAATATGAAATTCGAAATCAACATCGAATTCCACGTGTAGTGGTGATTTATTTAATAGAATTCAAAAAAAAATTCAACGGTCGTGGGATCTCCCCACGAGTGCCAAAAGACTGATAAAAAATGAAAGTCATTTCTACACGAAAAAAAAAATACATCATTTGACTCAGAATTCAATGCGGACTCCGAAAATGTAATTCTTTTTGAAATATATTTTGGGCAAAAAAATGGTCTTAGCGCCAGTTGTTCTTTCATGTCCCATAAGCAAAACACAATTGCAGACCTTTGGATATCAAACCATCAACTTTCTTGCAAAAACTAATATTCTATGTTTAAAAATGCGAAATTTTGTATCCGCTGATGTTTTAACTAACTATGTAGTTTTGAAAATTTACTTTACGTAAATCAATAAAGAATCATTCATGAGGGGTTCGTTTTTGACTTGTTCTTCTTATTCTCTTAGATGACAAACTGAAAATCATCTATGAAACGCTGAAGATGCATTGTTTTTATTTGATAACAGGTGAAATTGCTTTCATGATACTAACAATAATAATTAACAGTAGTATTTGCTTACCTTATCCGTATCAAAAAGAAACCTTTGACTAAACCTTTTCCAATAACCATAAAGTCAATCCATTTGATTGAACCGATGCGAATATATTCCATTTTTTATCGTAGTGCTATTTATGACCCACCCTGATTTTCATCAATCATGAATACAGAAACTGTGGACGACCTCTGTATTTGAACATTATTTACTGTTCTCGATTTTTATATATGTATAAAATAGAAAACGATCTACAAAACAAACATTAATTGATAAATTAATCATTATGTTTTCATCAATAATAATTTGTTTGTTACAGATATTGCTGACTGATGTAAATAAAGAAAAAATATGGCTGTTTTTAACATTATTTTTTCTATTAATTTACTACGAAAAGACTATCCAGTAGTAATAGATATATCAGGAATAATTTTGATGCATTTATCATATTGGATATTTGATCATATTGATAAGCTGAAAGATCTTCACATATGTCCAAATGATATTTTCAATAGAACGAATGCAAGAGATAAAATTTATGTTACTATCGCTGATTTCTTCTATTTGATCGGACTTATTCGACTATAGCATAAATGTTTTTTCGATGTCTCGCCATTTTTTCCTTACTCTTTATACATGTAAGACAATTTAAACAAGCGTTACTATATAATCATGTCATGTAATATATTAACCAAACGACTAAAAGAACAGTGTGAATTTATAACGTGCAATACCGAAACAACGTAATAATCATTTATGGTACAATAAATTGTGGTTACCATTTTCTCTTTTTTATCTGACCATTTATAAGTTCAAAAATAGAATGAAAATTTGAGAAATCACTCTTTTCTTCATAGTTCCAGCTTAGCTAGAAATTTAAAGTAATACCGCTGACTAACATCAAGCTTTCTTATTATGCTGAAGCGTACTAACCAAAAAACGAAATTCAAGGTTCGTCATATGTAAACATACTAAAACTGGTAAAGTAAGGGCCATTAAGAGTAATTTCTCCTTCATAGATGTTTATCTCACTCAAACACACTTCATACAAATAAATTAATTGAAAGGTTGTCTGTATATGTACACGAATAAAGCAATACTTTTGAATACATTGAAACTTTATGCTTTAATCTTCAATATATAACACGCGATTTCCTTGAAGCATAAAATAATAAATAGCCATCAATTAATACTTATCTATAGAATTTTAGAAGAAAGATTTACAAATAATTATATTGATAGTGACACATTCGTACAGAGATCTAACCAGAAAAACATTGAAATTTTACAGATCTATGCATCGCTTGTCTTTCTAAGAATCCTTGAATTATAACTATAGATGATAACAAAAAACAACAAATAATGATCGGTTTTCATGGTTGGTTTTCCAGTAAATTCAGATCATATCATCCCGCTATATATGTATTAAACTTGCTAATTACGTCTGCTCGTCATGTTCGATATGTATCATAATTCTTAGAAGATAATTATATTTATTGTATCGTTAATCTTATATCTTTTTTTCATTTAGTTGTTTTCGCAATGTGTCATTTAATTTGTTTTGTAAAATTTTTTATGTTCACGCGGCTAACGATGAAAGGAAACTGCAAATAGTGTTATTTATGACTTAAATGCTTTTCACTCAACCTTAATTATTGGTTATCAATTATGTTTGATGATGCGTAAAGCACAAATAACCAACACGATAGTTACTTGTTGATCGAATGTACAGTCATGAGCGCAGACAGCAGTGAAACGCACGTAAATGAAACTGATACTGTAGAAACCGAACGTGTGAATATTTGTAAAACCCATAATACACAAGAATCATCATCAATAACAAACAATGAACAATTTCATGAACATCCAATTTTGAAAAAATATCTTCCAAAACAATTATGTGAAATATTAGAACATTGGCTTGTGGATGGTACATTAAATGAAGATGAAAAAAAAATCTTTCGAACTTGTGCAGAATTTCTTTTTAAATCAACTAAAATAAATTCTGATGCTAAAGAATGGATTAGTCAACAAACTGAATTAATTAATCTTACTGAGAAATGTTTAAATGAAATAGGAGCTTATGGTTATTATATTGGAGTTGGTGGTGTAGAAGATCCAAATTTAGAATCATTTGATTGGCTTATTCAAGCATATGAAAATGTTCAATGTAAACAATTACTTGACACAATTGTTAAATGTGTAACAAGTCGTTTCTATGTTGATGTTTTGCATGGTTTGAGTGATGGTAAAGCAACATCTTTAAGTGTTACTGAGCATTTCCTTCTTATTACTTGTCCAAAGTATATTCTTACTTGTGATAGAGATAAAACTTATTCTTCAAAAATAGCTACCAAAATGTTAGATTATTATGAAGATCTACTTCACGCTTTTCTTCCTCACATTAAAGACTGGACAATATCAGTTATGTCATGTTTATATTATCCCATAACATTCGTTTTGTCCTTTGTTCCATCGTTACCATATGAACAAAGAAAACCTATGTACGATATTATTCTAGTTATACTTTTAAATACATCAACAGCTGATTCCAATACTGTAGGACCACGCAGTAAAGTGATTTATACGTCGCTTTGCTTATTAATTGAAATGGTTCGATGTGATAGAATTTTATTAAGTGAATTAAAATACAAGAGCGATGTAAAATCTGATTTACTCAAAATATTAAATGATTTATCGAAATATGAAAACAATGAACAAATACAATTAAAAGCAATAGAATTAACCTCATTATTGCTACCAGAAGAAGAATTTCGCAAAGAAAACAATACAGAACGAGTCACTGGACTCTTTGTTAAAAATTTCAATGCCGCTATTCAAGATGGCAAATCTAACAAGGCCGATGAAGTTTTAAGAGGACTAAATGGTATTGAAATTGCATAATATTTTCTTTTAAACATTCTTTATTTATTTCTTAGATTTGATACAAAATGAGGATGTTAAAGAAGAACTTATTAAACAAAATGCGTTGCCATCAATAATACAATTTGCAAAAGAAACAAACGATAATCCATTACCATTAGAAACAGTCTATGCAATGACATTTAATAATGAGGCAAAAAAAGTTATTCGTGAAGATACAGAATTTGTTGATCACGTGAAACAATTACGTGATTCTGAAAAAAAAGACGTTTCAAAAATGGCACATGGTATTATGTGGAAAATAGAAGATGAAGAAAAATTTAGAAAAAAAGAAGAAGAAAAAGATAAAGATGCAAAAGACGCATCAAAAGAAAGCTCTGATAAAGAATCGAAACAATATGATATGATGATTTCATATTGTTGGGCACAACAACCTTTATGTCATAAAATAAATGATCGTTTAGAAAAAGATGGTTATAAAGTTTGGTTAGATAGAGATGAAATGCGTGGATCAATTATTGAATGTATGGCTGAAGCTATTGAAAAATCTCGATATGTACTTATTTGCATGTCAAGTAACTATAAGAAGAGTACCAATTGTAAAGCTGAAGCTGAATATGCATTCAATCGAAAAAGCAAAATAATTCCTCTTGTTGTCGAACCTAAATATAAAGCCGATGGATGGTTAGGATTTTTAGCTGGTTCCAAAATTTATGTTGATTTTGCTGATAAAGAAGGAGAGGAATTTGATAAAGCCTATGACTCATTACTAGAAGAACTTAGACGAAATGGATTGGACGATACCAATGAAGGTAAAGATAATACAACGGCTGTTGAAACTACAACTGAATCAGAGTCAAAACCGGAAGAACCAATAAAAGAACCTGAACAACCTTGTATTCAAACAAGAGAATATTTAAGCGTTCCTGTGGCATCAATGTGGCATGAAAACCATGTTCAGGAATTTCTAATTGATAATCAACTTAATCAATTAATACCTATTTGTGAATCAATGGATGGGGAAGCATTAATAGAGTTTCATCATGCATGTGAAACAAAACCTGATATCAGGTATGGATTACTTTATAATCCAAAAGGAGAACACTCATTATCATTTGGTACTTTTTTCAAATTTATTGCTAAACTAAAAAAATATTTACCAAAAAAACCAATACCTAAACTTTATTTTCGATACAATTTTATTTATCCGTCATCAAATTCAACGGTCGTAGGAACTACAGACAAAGAAACCAATCAATCAAAATAAACTATAAACATTTTTAGCATCTGTCTTGATTATTATGCATTTTATATTTGATGAAAAAATTTTGTTTTTGCTATATAGGCAAGCGTTGAAATAACAATGAAACAGTACTTTCTAATAGTTAATATATGATTCTTTTTTTTTTACAATTCTCACCAAATAAATAAATGAAATATCATACGATGATCTATTTAATTGCAATCTGAATATAGAGAAGATTGCTTTTGATTTTAATGTGAAATGAAGTTGTTTTAGCATCTTTAGACATTATCTCGTAGCCTATATATATATATACGTACAGTTAGAACGCTTATGCTCAAATAGTGGTGTCCATTTCAGAGTTTATAATTTTATTCTTTTTACTTAGTACATTGTGATAAACATATACTATAACATTTATCTGAAGACTTTCAAATATCTTCGAAGATCCTCATTGCTTCAAAACAAGAGGTAAATATCTGTAAACCATGAGATATAGTTAAGGACAGCATATCACTGAAAGTAGATATCTCGTGAACTACGTAGTAGCGTAATACAGTGTTCAAGATCAGTTAATGAACACCGAATAATAATGAATAACAGTTGCGTGAAATATAGTTGTTGTAAAGATCAGAAGGCTGACTCTCCGTCATAATGCATAGATTAACAGTCTTTTTTCACTCCTACCATCGTTGAAAGAAAGATGTCTTTTTTTTTCTAAATTTGTTTTAAATATAAAGGACCGTAGACTCTAAAATATATGAAAAAAAAATAGTTATTAACAAATATTTATTAACACTTGCATTAGCAATGAAATTTACTATTTTGTATGACCTTTCTTGTATTCTAAAAAGCTACAATATAGGAATATTTTATTTAAATAAGTACGATTAATATGTTTACGTTCAATATGACCTTTAAACATAGCTGAATATCAATATTTTTTCATCTTGTTTTAGTCTTGAAGTTTAAGTAACGAGGGCATAAGTTGATGTTCTATCACTTGATCTTTTTAACTGGATTTATATTATCAAGGAAGGTTAAACAAAAATACAGTCAATCGAAACAAATATCAACGTCATGTGATGAGAAATACTTAAAAATAAAAAAATCTTTATAGTTGAAGTTTCCTGTGCAAGCAGTGGTTTTTAAAGGCTCTATTGTACAATAAAGGATGAGAAGAATATTTTTAAAATATTGTTTTGACTAAAGAAAAGAAATATTTTCATAAGAAAAAAGTTAACATTGATTCTATCGGCATACTCTGTTTTTCAACATAGATCAGTCAATATTTTGTGTTCGAAAACATATCGAATTTCATTGATCATATCAAGAAGCAGTATTTTTCTGTTGAAAAGAGTTATTATAACTAAGTATAATTCATCACTTGCTTTTTTTTCGTATTTCTTAATCTTTGACAGTCAATACTGAGACGTGCGAAGTATTATTATTAACTGTCCATAAACATCGGTATCTTTTTTAGAAGAAAGCATTCTATTATTAATGCTCGTTGTGTTTTTTATGAAAATCACTTATTACATCATACAATTACTAAAAAAAAGGAAATAACGTTTTTTTTTTCTTTAATTTACAATGTCTTGCAAGATGAAAATATTAAAAAGTAACATTAATCAAATATAATATTATTAATACGATTCTTGTTGTAATGATTACAATTTATCTGTATCAGTCTTTTAATAGCTCATCATTCTATAAAGTAGTCGAGACAAAAAAATCCATTTCTGGTTGACTAATTTTTATTACGCATATGATCAAAATCGTGCAAAAATTTGTAATTTTATTGCGACTTGTCAGAACAATTAATCAGAAGATTTTATCACAATTTTCTATGTGACATTTACAATAACCAGATCTAGTCGTAATGCTCGGCTTTAGCATTTTGACTGGGTCTTGAGATTGATCTAAATAAAAGAAAAAGAAAAAACATTTATAAATTAGAGGATTTTTTCTTTTATTGCTGTATATCTGTTGTTGGTTGCGTCAAAATTTTTGTTGTCGAAGAAAGTTGGTAACTCGTTGTTGGTATTGCTGTCGAAAGACGTGATTAAAAATCTAATTTTGTTACTGAATAATTGATAAAAACGATGTCATCTTTGTCCAAGAATAGAAAACAATTTTTTTTTTTTGAGAAACGAAACAAACATTCAAATAATAGTTATATTTAATCCTGTTTTTTTTAAACTATGAATTGTTGAAACTAACTTTTTATATTCTGACGTTCTTTAAATTCACATTCTACATTCATGATTAATATTTTTCAATAATTCAAGATTTTCTAAACAAGTCCTATTAGAAATAATTAATATTTTTAAGCAACGTGATATTATGTTAATGGTCTACATGTCAATTTTACTATCAAATTGAATATATTCATTATGTAAACATATAACTTCACAACTATTGGGAAAAAAAAAGTTAAAGACCAGCAATAATCCAAGTTGCTTCATTAAATATTTAACTGATATGGACAGAAAAACTATAGATTTCTAAGAAATTGAGATTCACTAAACAACATAGTCTTGTAAATTAATACTCTTCATTTAATTTTTCATTTTCGAGCTGCACAATATAACGTACACTTGTAAATATGAGTTGTAAGAATAGATCTCTTAAAAAATAAAGAAAGAGAGTATCTGTACATTGAATAAAATGCTACATGCAATGATGTGTTTTCAAATCTCTATAATTTTCAATTTAAATGAAGACTAAGCCAATTTTAAACAATAACAAATTATTTAGTTTTTGGTAGATCAGTTAATATTTTCACATGAGTGTATGCTCAAGGCCATCAATCAAGAATGTTCATTATAATCCATTGTTCTAGCTTAATATATTTCTGATAAAAATCAAGGACTTATTGAGCTGATGAGGAAATAGGTCTACCTAAGTTAAACAAGTTTTATTTGAAATTCAAGAAAAATCTTACTTGATATATTATGAGAACATATAATTTAGTTGAAATTGAAGACAGAATGAAAAAACATGAATTAAAACATCAAATAAAAAGAATCTCATGAAAAATATACTGAACCTATCAGAAATACCAATGATTTAGGTACCTTGGACAGATGAGTTGCTCGAACTTAAGCACTATTTAAGTAAAAAATTAAGTGTTGTTTGAATTGCTATCAAGTTGCTTATATTTTGTCAATGAAGTAAACAAAAAAATTATTCTCTTCTTTTTCACTAGACGAATAGAAATAAGTTTATATAATTATTTCGATCTTCCTTCTTAATATATACTCCCATCTATGTTACCTTTATCAGAGAGTAAAAAGATATTATATGACTAATGTAGTAGTAATTCATTTTCTTCACATAACAATTTATTGTTATTCATTCAATCATTCATTTGAAACTTTCCCCATTCATTTAATATAGGTGCAAATATTAAATATTTCTTTTTAATTAAAAAACAAGAAGACTACCATTATTAGTTTTTTTTTTTTATGTATATAAATCTTGCAATATGATTGGAGGTAAGTTAATAAAATGAATTAATGTATTTGTTTTGTTATAGAAAAAAACATCGAACTCAATTTTCTTCCATCATTATACTAATCAATTTGATGAATCGATTTTTTTTTCACCAACATTCAATATAAGATGATTGATCTTTCGAAAATGGTCTCTTACAAAATAAAGCTACAATGAATTGATGGATCAAATTCTAGTAATGAAAAATTCTAATTATCTACGGGTCAAATATTTTTATCTATATTACACAATATACAATACATCGAACAATAAATTCTTCATTAAATATCAACTTATTAGTAATAATCTAAATCATAGTTGATTTTACAAGGATGTCAAATACATCTACTATATAACATGTCTGACAAGAGAGTTAAAACAAAAAAAAACAATAAAATTTTAATGAATAATAATTTTTTCTTTTTCTTTTGTTGTCATAATGAAAATCAATGACAAGTGTATTTATGAGAAATTTCATCGAATATTTACTAACTTTGATGGTTTTTTTAATTACGATCAATCTGATTGTTTTTAAAGATTTTTTATTATTACACTAACTTTTCAAATAATGACATTCTAAATTTGTGTCTAATATAGTTTGACTTATTATTTGAAAAGCATGATAATTTTAACAGTATTACTATTATTATTAACAAATCTATATCTATAGACATTTTATCAGTCAACATTCTTTGGAATTTTTCTTTCTTTTTCATATTTATTCAGTTCGATTGGTTATTAATTACACATTTATCACGTCGTTCGTCATTAAATATTCTACGTCCTTTGTCAAGAATATGGCATTGCATTGTAAATAACACAATAAGTTACCATTTATTTAGATAATTATATATGTATATATCAATCAGATCGATATTACATGAGAATTTACTTAAATACTCATCAAAATATCCTGTCTTTATTTCGTATCGTTATATGATTAATGTTTAATATTGATATTAATATTAATCTGAATCGACTGTTGATTTAATCGATAGATGATAGCTGGTCTGTCATGTTTTATGAGAATACTATTCATTATATGTTTTGATTGTCATGACAAAGTGTACGACAAAAAGAACATAAAATTTCATTATATTTTGACATTCTTATCTTGTCAACCTTGAAACAAAAAATATCCAGTCGTGTGAGTTATGAAATATAGATAATTTCGATTATTATAGTTAAGAACAATATTTATCTTGATTGTTTTTGTTTATCTATTTCGATACGTCAGTATATATCTTTATCAATTCGATACAGACTATTCAAACAAAATAAATGATACAAATGAAATAATTATCTGTATCATTTACTACGTTATTTGTAATTATTTTTAAATAGGAAGAAAGTTGTACAACTTATGTCCTATACAGTAAATTATGGAAAGAGAGAAATTTAAATTAATATTGATAGTATTGTTTTCATCCTAAGTAACGTTTAAAAATACTTGAAGATCAGAATTTTCAAATATATCGTGCTTCTTAAGTCGGATTGTATTTTTTAGTTTAGAGCAATTATTGAAC